CACCCACCACCACCTCAACAGAGACACCAACTCCAGTGCCCCCCATCACCACCACCACCACGACCGAAACACCAACCCCAACACCCACCACCACGGTGACTCCAACCACAACTCCCACCACCACCACCACCTCAACAGAGACCCCAACACCAACCCCCACCACCACAGTGACTACCACCCCCACCACCTCACCAACCACCCCCCCTCCGGAACCAACCACAATGACGACCACTACTACGACACCCACAACTCCACCAAAATCCAGCACGACTGTGACCACCAGCACGCCTCCGTCAAAATCAACCCCCATAGTGTCAACACAAACTACGTGTTTGGAGGACTGCAGATGGTCGGAGTGGCTGGATTCTGGGAAACCGAACACTAGCATACCAGGTGGAGATTTTGAGCCCATTGGGAACACCTGCGATCCGGGATGGGCAGCCAACATCTCCTGCAGAGCTCCTATGTATCCAAATACTCCCATTGAAGAACTTGGACAGGTTGTGGAGTGCGACCTCTCCAATGGGCTGGTGTGCAAAAACGAAAACCAGAAGCCAGGGGGACCCATCCCCATGCCCTTCTGCATCAACTATCAGATCAAAGTCTACTGCTGTGGGTACTGTACCCCCTCTGAAAGCACCCCCACTACAACTACGACCATCAGCACCACAGTGACTCGGACCACAACTCCCACCATCACTTCAACAGAGACACCAACTCCAGGCCCCACCACCACCACCACCACCACCACCGAGACACCAACTCCAACTCCCACCACCACGGCGACACCACCCACAACTCCCACCACCACCTCAACAGAGACACCAACTCCAGGCCCCACCACCACCACCACCACCACCACCGAGACACCAACTCCAACACCTACCAGCACAATGACCCCATCGACAATACCCACCACCACCTCAACAGAGACACCAGCCCCACCCGCCTCCACCACCACTGAGACTCCAAAAACAACCAGCACAGTGATCCCACCCACAACACCCACCACCACCTCAACAGAGACACCAACTCCAGGCCCCACCACCACCACCACCACCACCACTGAGACACCAACTCCAACAACCACCAGCACAGTGACCCCACCCACAACACCCACCACCACCTCAACAGAGACACCAGCCCCACCCGCCTCCACCACCACTGAGACTCCAAAAACAACCAGCACAGTGATCCCACCCACAACACCCACCACCACCTCAACAGAGACACCAACTCCAGGCCCCACCACCACCACCACCACCACCACTGAGACACCAACTCCAACAACCACCAGCACAGTGACCCCACCCACAACACCCACCACCACCTCAACAGAGACACCAGCCCCACCCCCCTCCACCACCACTGAGACTCCAAAAACAACCAGCACAGTGATCCCACCCACAACACCCACCACCACCTCAACAGAGACACCAACTCCAGGCCCCACCACCACCACCACCACCACCACTGAGACACCAACTCCAACAACCACCAGCACAGTGACCCCACCCACAACACCCACCACCACCTCAACAGAGACACCAGCCCCACCCCCCTCCACCACCACTGAGACTCCAAAAACCACCAGCACAGTGATCCCACCCACAACACCCACCACCACCTCAACAGAGACACCAACTCCAGGCCCCACCACCACCACCACCACCACCACTGAGACACCAACTCCAACAACCACCAGCACAGTGACCCCACCCACAACACCCACCACCACCTCAACAGAGACACCAGCCCCACCCCCCTCCACCACCACTGAGACTCCAAAAACCACCAGCACAGTGATCCCACCCACAACACCCACCACCACCTCAACAGAGACACCAACTCCAGGCCCCACCACCACCACCACCACCACCACTGAGACACCAACTCCAACAACCACCAGCACAGTGACCCCACCCACAACACCCACCACCACCTCAACAGAGACACCAGCCCCACCCCCCTCCACCACCACTGAGACTCCAAAAACCACCAGCACAGTGATCCCACCCACAACACCCACCACCACCTCAACAGAGACACCAACTCCAGGCCCCACCACCACCACCACCACCACCACTGAGACACCAACTCCAACAACCACCAGCACAGTGACCCCACCCACAACACCCACCACCACCTCAACAGAGACACCAGCCCCACCCCCCTCCACCACCACTGAGACTCCAAAAACCACCAGCACAGTGATCCCACCCACAACACCCACCACCACCTCAACAGAGACACCAACTCCAGGCCCCACCACCACCACCACCACCACCACTGAGACACCAACTCCAACAACCACCAGCACAGTGACCCCACCCACAACACCCACCACCACCTCAACAGAGACACCAACTCCAGGCCCCACCACCACCACCACCACCACCACTGAGACACCAAAGCCAACAACCACAAGCACAGTGACCCCACCCACAACACCCACCACCACCTCAACAGAGACACCAGCCCCACCCCCCTCCACCACCACTGAGACTCCAACAACCACCAGCACAGTGATCCCACCCACAACACCCACCACCACCTCAACAGGGACACCAGCCCCACCCTCCTCCACCACCACTGAGACTCCAAAAACCACCAGCACAGTGATCCCACCCACAACACCCACCACCACCTCAACAGAGACACCAACTCCAGGCCCCACCACCACCACCACCACCACCACTGAGACACCAACTCCAACAACCACCAGCACAGTGACCCCACCCACAACACCCACCACCACCTCAACAGAGACACCAGCCCCACCCCCCTCCACCACCACTGAGACTCCAAAAACCACCAGCACAGTGATCCCACCCACAACTCCCACCACCACTTCAACAGAGACACCAACTCCAGGCCCCACCACCACCACCACCACCACCACCGAGACACCAACTCCAACTCCCACCACCACGGCGACACCACCCACAACTCCCACCACCACCTCAACAGAGACACCAACTCCAGGCCCCACCACCACCACCACCACCACCACCGAGACACCAACTCCAACACCTACCAGCACAATGACCCCATCGACAATACCCACCACCACCTCAACAGAGACACCAGCCCCACCCGCCTCCACCACCACTGAGACTCCAAAAACAACCAGCACAGTGATCCCACCCACAACACCCACCACCACCTCAACAGAGACACCAACTCCAGGCCCCACCACCACCACCACCACCACCACTGAGACACCAACTCCAACAACCACCAGCACAGTGACCCCACCCACAACACCCACCACCACCTCAACAGAGACACCAGCCCCACCCCCCTCCACCACCACTGAGACTCCAAAAACCACCAGCACAGTGATACCACCCACAACTCCCACCACCACCTCAACAGAGACACCAACTCCAGGCCCCACCACCACCACCACCACCACCACCGAGACACCAACTCCAACACCTACCAGCACAATGACCCCATCGACAATACCCACCACCACCTCAACAGAGACACCAGCCCCACCCGCCTCCACCACCACTGAGACTCCAAAAACCACCAGCACAGTGATCCCACCCACAACACCCACCACCACCTCAACAGAGACACCAACTCCAGGCCCCACCACCACCACCACCACCACCACCACCACTGAGACACCAACTCCAACAACCACCAGCACAGTGACCCCACCCACAACACCCACCACCACCTCAACAGAGACACCAGCCCCACCCCCCTCCACCACCACTGAGACTCCAAAAACCACCAGCACAGTGATCCCACCCACAACACCCACCACCACCTCAACAGAGACACCAACTCCAGGCCCCACCACCACCACCACCACCACCACTGAGACACCAACTCCAACAACCACCAGCACAGTGACCCCACCCACAACACCCACCACCACCTCAACAGAGACACCAGCCCCACCCCCCTCCACCACCACTGAGACTCCAAAAACCACCAGCACAGTGATCCCACCCACAACACCCACCACCACCTCAACAGAGACACCAACTCCAGGCCCCACCACCACCACCACCACCACCACTGAGACACCAACTCCAACAACCACCAGCACAGTGACCCCACCCACAACACCCACCACCACCTCAACAGAGACACCAGCCCCACCCCCCTCCACCACCACTGAGACTCCAAAAACCACCAGCACAGTGATCCCACCCACAACACCCACCACCACCTCAACAGAGACACCAACTCCAGGCCCCACCACCACCACCACCACCACCACTGAGACACCAACTCCAACAACCACCAGCACAGTGACCCCACCCACAACACCCACCACCACCTCAACAGAGACACCAGCCCCACCCCCCTCCACCACCACTGAGACTCCAAAAACCACCAGCACAGTGATCCCACCCACAACACCCACCACCACCTCAACAGAGACACCAACTCCAGGCCCCACCACCACCACCACCACCACCACTGAGACACCAACTCCAACAACCACCAGCACAGTGACCCCACCCACAACACCCACCACCACCTCAACAGAGACACCAGCCCCACCCCCCTCCACCACCACTGAGACTCCAAAAACCACCAGCACAGTGATCCCACCCACAACACCCACCACCACCTCAACAGAGACACCAACTCCAGGCCCCACCACCACCACCACCACCACCACTGAGACACCAACTCCAACAACCACCAGCACAGTGACCCCACCCACAACACCCACCACCACCTCAACAGAGACACCAGCCCCACCCCCCTCCACCACCACTGAGACTCCAAAAACCACCAGCACAGTGATCCCACCCACAACACCCACCACCACCTCAACAGAGACACCAACTCCAGGCCCCACCACCACCACCACCACCACCACTGAGACACCAACTCCAACAACCACCAGCACAGTGACCCCACCCACAACACCCACCACCACCTCAACAGAGACACCAGCCCCACCCCCCTCCACCACCACTGAGACTCCAAAAACCACCAGCACAGTGATCCCACCCACAACACCCACCACCACCTCAACAGAGACACCAACTCCAGGCCCCACCACCACCACCACCACCATTGAGACACCAAAGCCAACAACCACCACCATCTCAACAGAGACGCCAGCCCCACCCCCCTCCACCACCACTGAGACTCCAAAAACCACCAGCACAGTGATCCCACCCACAACACCCACCACCACCTCAACAGAGACACCAACTCCAGGCCCCACCACCACCACCACCACCACCACTGAGACACCAACTCCAACAACCACCAGCACAGTGACCCCACCCACAACACCCACCACCACCTCAACAGAGACACCAGCCCCACCCCCCTCCACCACCACTGAGACTCCAAAAACCACCAGCACAGTGATCCCACCCACAACACCCACCACCACCTCAACAGAGACACCAACTCCAGGCCCCACCACCACCACCACCACCACCACTGAGACACCAACTCCAACAACCACCAGCACAGTGACCCCACCCACAACACCCACCACCACCTCAACAGAGACACCAGCCCCACCCGCCTCCACCACCACTGAGACACCAACCACAACCCCCTACACTACCACGCCCCCCACCACCACAGAGACCCCAATACCGCCATCAAGCACCACCACCAGCACGGAGACCCCAGTCCCTACAAGCACAGTACCTGGTGAGATCACCACACCACAACCCCCGCCTGAGTCCCCCTGGCCTCCAATATCTCAGTCTACCTCCCCTTCTTCCACGGAATCAACCACACTTCTGACCACCCCTCCGACTACCACGAAGACAACCAGCCCGCCTTCACCACCCACGGAAACGAAGCCCACGGTCACTACCCCGGGAAGAAGCACCCCTGGTGGCACCACTACAGGTACGGACCCCATGGAGCCAGCGCGGCCTCTGGTGACGGGTTCTCGGTTCTTCCTCACCTCAGGGGAGCTTTGAAGCTCCTGGATCCAAGTCAGGGGCACCTGCTCTGTCCAATGAGAGTATTCCCTGGGAGGTTCCCGGTGGGCTCGGCCAAGTCTAGCCAGTGCACATTCCGGGGGATGCTGGCCTCGGGCCTGTGGGTGGGCAGCAAGCCACAGGTACCCACTTGCCTCACAGGATGTCTTTTCTCAGGCACAGTGCCTTCAGCTCACATCCTTCAGCCACAGCTGAGTGATGGGCAGCGTGGCCACGCCGTCTGGAGGGGCACATGGGGCCAGGGCTGGGTGGGGAGCAGAGGCTGCCTGTCAGGTGTCCCGGGAGGCCCTCCCTCCTTCTTGCTGTCCTGCCTGCCCGGGGTAGGTGGGCCTCCCCGTTGCACACAATTGGACCTCAGGCCGTCCTCGCTCTGCCCTACCTTAAGACTGAAAGCTGGGACAGTGGGCGTGAGCCCTCCATGCCACGCACCACGCCTTGGGTGAGGTGTTTGGCTCCAGTAGCCACCAGGCCCCTGCTGCGTCTAAAGCGAGTGACACCATCGGCCTCACTGGTAACCGCCATTCTTACAGGCACCCAGACTTCGGGTCCTACCTCTTCAAAGGCCACGTCTAGGCCCCCCTCGCCCTCCACGGAACCCCCGTCCGCATCTACACCCACTCCCACGACCGTGTCGACGACAACCACCAGGACACCTACCCCGCCAGGACACCCATCAACCACGCCGCCCCCGTCGCAGACCACCACGGCTTCAACCAGCGTGCCCGTCCACTCGCAGGCTCCGCTTTCGACCCCCAGCACCGTGAAAAGCACCCCCATCGAAATTTGCTGCTTTCTGAATGACACGTTCTATGACCCAGGTACCGAGCTTTTCCCTTCTGACCTTCAGGCAACGGAGGCCGGTGGGACTTTGGTCTGCTTTTACCAGTGGTTAGGAGGCAGGTCTAAGGTCAGGGGTCCAACGGGGGTGGGGGCTCTCCTCTGGCAGCCCCGTGGAGGCCTGCCGGACGGATGGTGTAGGGTCTGGGGGTGTCTCCCCCCGCAGGCGAGTTGGTGTACAACGGCACTCACGGAGACACCTGCTACTACGTGAACTGCTCGCTGAGCTGCCAGCTGGAGTTCTTCAACTGGTCCTGCCCGTCCACGCCCCCCTCCACACCCACACCCTCCAAGACGACACCCTCGTCAACACCCCGCCCACCCACGCCCACAACCACGCCGACCACCACCAAAACCCCTGGCTGCCCCAACTTCGACCCTCCCAGACAGGTCAGTGGGCTGTGGGCAGCTTTGGTCCCCTCAGCCCTGGACGCACTGTCTGGGTCTAAAGCCCCGGGGGCTGCCTTTCTGTCCCCTACATCCTGAGCACAGCCTTTGGGGCACAGGGTCTGCGGAGCTCTCCCACCCCCTCTCCCACTGGCCTCACCAGGATGGGGTGACGCTGTCTCCTGACCGGGCGCCCTCGGCCCCCGGCTCCCCTGTCCCCCCCGCGAGGGCTCCTAGGCTCTCCTGGGACCTCAGGAGTACAGTCTGCCCTGCCTGCTCCCCTGTGGGCAGAGGGGCCCTGCTGGTCCCGGCTGGCCCCGTTAGTCCCTGCCAACCCCGGCTGACCCGTGCCCTCCCCGCCCGCAGGAGAATGAGACTTGGTGGCTGTGTAACTGCACCCAGGCCATCTGCAAACATGACAACACCGTGGAGATCGTGCAGGTGGAGTGCAAGCCCCCGCCCATGCCCACCTGCTCCAACAACCTCACGCCGGTGCGCGTCATGGACCCCGACGGCTGCTGCTGGCACTGGGAGTGTGACTGTGAGTAAGCCCAGGACGCCAAGGCACCCTCCCCCCTCCTGGGGGTGGAAGCTGCAGGGCCTGAGGACCTTGGGCGCAGAGCCCCCAGGTTGGACGTGGTGGCTGGACGGCCAGGCACCTGTCCCAGGGACTTCTCACGGCCCCTGCTCATTCCTGTCTCCT